TGGCCCGGCCCCAGTGGTTGTCGACCCATGCACCAAGAGGTCAACGGCTCAATTCCAAGTCAGGGTACATGCCCAGGTTGTGGGCCAAATCCCCAGTAGGGGGCATGCAGAAGGAGCCAATCGATGTTTCTATCTGTCTCTCTATCTACCTTCCTCTCCCTCTAAAATTAAGAAAGATAAAAAAAAAGTTAAAATAAAATAAAAATAAAATCAATCTATGAACTAGTCGAATCTCAGTAAAAATTCCAACAAGATTTCTTGAGTAGATACAACTCGACAAACTGATTTTAAAATTCACTTGGAGAAGACATGCCAAAAGCAGTGAAGGCAATCAGTTCCTCCAGGAGCCTCACTGAAAGAACTAACCAGATATTAATATTATTGAAAAACAAAAGCAACAACATATCACACACATTCCTAATACGCACATAAACCTGACAGATGACTTGAGCCTCTGGGGAAAGGAATGGAGTATGCAACAAGTATTGAACAACTGATTACCATACGGAGAACATAATCAAATTAGTTCCCTCCCTCATATCATAAACAAAAATAAATTTCAGGTGGATTATAGGTATAATTGCAAAGAAAAAGCTAAGTTTTATCATTTCTAAAGAAAGTATAAGATCTTTATAACTGAAAAGTAAAGCAAATTTTCTTGACCAGGACATCAAAAAGGAAAATACTTAAAAAGATACCAACCGCACTAACCCTAAAAGAACAGACTAATAAATTTTACTTCATTATTCTGTAAAACAAAAGATACCATATACAATGTGAAAAAGAGAAGGCATATATAAAAAATAAATATTTGCAAACTACATAACTGTCAAAGAATTAGAGTTCAAAATGCATTATCCACAGAGAAATAGTTAAACAGGAAAAAGCTGTAGACAACAAATTTACAGGAGAGAACACTAAAATACCCAATAAATGCATTAAGTAGTAAAAAGAACTGCAAATTAAAACATAATGTGCTCAAATCAAACCCATTAAAATGACAAAATTTATGTCAATAATAAAGTGTTAGCAAAGAAAGCAATGAGGAATAATGGCATTACAGGTGAAAATGTAAACCGGTAAAACTGTATTAGAAAGCAATTTGGCAGTATTGTGTAAAGTTGGAGGTGGGCGTGCTCCATCGCTCAAAAATTCTAAGTATATATGTCTAGAAGGCACACATACATGTGAACAAGAAGACACACAAAATCTTTCACTGTGGTTTTCTTTATAGTATCAGCAAAAAAGCTAAGTGACTAAAATATCTATTACTGGCATAATTAAATAACTGTGAAGTCTTCTTAGATCAGATGAATGAACTATAGATGCACGTATAAACATGCATAAACATGAAATCTGTCATAGTAGAGAAAAATCATACAATTATATTTGTAGTGTGAAATCATTAACTTGAAAAACACAAAAATTATTAAATGTACTTTACCTGCTAGAGAAGAAAAAAATTTTTTTTAAGCTTACTAATGCTAACAAGTAAGTTAAGCATGAAGGTTACTCCCTTCTTGATCTGATCAGAAAGAAGGAGACCTAGGGGATTTATAACACATTATCTAAAACTATTTCTTTTTCTCCAAATCTGAAGTGAATATGGTAAAATACTAAGATGAGGCTCAGCTGGGTGATTGGAACACATGTTTAGAATATTCTCTATTTCTGTAGGCTTGAAATAATATATGCCTTGTTCCATCGATTTCCTGAAATTGAATACACAAGCTTCATAGGAGAGCTACCCAGAGCCTCACTCACAGCCGGTGCTGATAGGATTTCAATATATTTCTCTTTCCTCCTATGTTTCAAATCCATCACATAGTATTTGCTGCAATGAGAGGAAAGGGGGAGTAAGAGCATGCAGGGAAATCTAAGGCATCTGCCAGGAGGCCTATCACATTCTAGGCTCCATCAGCCTGAGCCGCAGGGTAAAAACAACATGGAGCCGAGCGAAGATGACAGGCAGCAGAGCCGAAGCCAAACCTCAGTGGTGACGCAGTGTGACGAAGTATAACCCTTTGCTGTTGTGAGCTGCTGTTACTCTAGGGTTTTTGTTACTGCAATGTAACTGAGCTTAAATAGACAGATAAAATCATGCTGGCTGCTAAGCCTACTGGGAAAATAAATGATAAGGAATTTTACAATGAATGAAATCAGGCTGATAATACCTAATCCACTTAATCAATCATAAGATCACAAAGACAAAAACAACCAAACATGTGCCTCTTGAATAGACTGCAATACAAAGTGCTTGCTGGTGGGGGGCAGGGGGGGGGGGTGCACCTTAAACCTGACCTGACCAAGGCTCCTGATCTAATTATTAGTATATATCAGTCATGGCAAAATGATATCATGAGGATGAAATAAGCCAAATCCAGAACATGGGTTATTCTACAGAAGAAATTAGTCTGCTCAATTTCTTCAACAAAAATGAAAAAGGTTTTAAAAAATAAGCTGTAGGGAGAAATGGCTTTTAATTAAAAGGGATTTGAGTAATGAATCAGTCAAATGAATGGCTTTGTATCCTGGTTTAAAAATTAAAGTAAGTATTAACAAATTTATAAAAATCAAATAAATTTAAGCACATTTTTATTACTTTTAAACTATTTTTGTTATTTTTTAAAGTATGACATGACATGTGTTTTCTTTTAAAAAAAAGAAGAAAGTAAAGCCCTGGCTGGTTTGGCTCAATGGTTAAAGCAGCAGCACTCAGACTGAGGGGTCTCGAGTTTAATTTCAGGTCAAGAGCACGTAACTGGTTGCAGGTTCCATCTCCTGCCTGGGCCACGGGCATGCAGGAGGCAACTAATCACTGTGTCTCCCTCACATCAATGTTCTCTCCTTCTCTCCCTCCCTCCCTCACCCTCTATCTAGAAATCAATGGAAAAATATCCTCACGTGAGGATTATCAACAAAAAAAAAAAAAAAAGAAAAAAAGGAAGTATATAATATTTACAGTAATAATATGATTTTAGGATTTGCATTATAATAATACAAGGATGAGAAAAATAACTGAAACAGTATTAGCTTAGATGTTGAAGCTGGGTAATAATTTTTCAAAAAAATTAAAAACTGTTGCTCTCAGAATATCATTAAGAAGAAAAAAACTTTTAAAGTCACATATGGAGGGAAAACATGTAGAGTATCTGTGTCAAGCCCTCGATGGTTTTGCTCAATGGTTAGAGCATTGTCCCACAGCCAGAAGAGTCCTGGGTTTGATTCCGGTCAAGGTCACACACCTGGGTTGAATGTGCAATCTCCGACCCTGGTTTGGGTTGTACGGGAGGCAACTAATCGAGGTATCTCTTACATCAGTTTCTCTCTCTCTCTCTCTCTCTCGCTCCCCCTTCCTCCCTTCCATTCTAAAAATGAATGGAAAAATATCCTCGGGTGAGAATTCACCACCACAACAAAAATATTTGTATCAAGAATATATAAAGAATCTTTATAAAGTATTACTAAAAAGACAACTCAATTAGAAATGAGCAAAATACATGAACAGGCACTTCACAAAAACATATATGAAAGACCAATAAGCACATGAAAAGTTGAACAATTATCAACAAAATGTAACTTAGCAATCATACAAATGCAAAATAAAACCAAAATGAGATGACACTACAAATCGCTAGGCTAAAATTAAAAATTTGAAAAGACAATCATAAATGTTGGTGAGAACGTGGAGCAACTGAACTCAAGAGCAGCTTTGACAGTAACAGTCAAAAGTGGAAACAATCTAAATACCTAGCATGTGAGTGAATATACACACAGTGGTATGTCCTTAGGATGGATACTACTGGGCAATGAAAATACTACTGGACAATGAACTACTGATGTTCGCACCAACATGAATTATGTTTGCACCAAAAACATTATTTTGCATAAAAGTAGCAAGATTTTAAAAAGTATATATTATATGATTCCATTCAACTGAAGGTCTAGAAAAAGGAAAACTGAACTATAGTGAAAAAAAAGAAAAAAAAAAAATCAGTGGCTGCCTGGAGCTGGGAGGACAAGGCGACTGACTATAAAAGAGCGTAAAGAGCCTTCTGAGGTGACAGAAATCCCAACCACGCTGTTGGTTATATGGGCGCATATTTGTCAAAATGCATCAAACTGTATACTTACAACAGCTATTCTTATTATATACAAGTTATACCTCAAAGTTGATTTTTAAAAACTATACCAGATACAATTTTAGCAGATACAATTATACCGCTTTTATGAGGTCATACATAAGGGTAAACCATAATAAAGTAAATTAAGGATTGAAGGAGAAATCACTAAGGAGAAAAATCAAATTGTTTTAATAACCAAAGACACTGTAACCACATCCTAAATTTAGATAAGAGCATCAAGAGAGTGGGGACATAAAAGGATAACGGGCCATTTCAGTCCTCCTTCTAAAATGAGCACAAATCCCGGGAAAAAGTCGAATGTATTCCTCATACTAAATCATGTGTAATATCTGTCACACAACTGTTCGTATCTTAGAAATAAAAAGACATAAGTACATCAGAATATGTGAAATGACTTTCAGAGTGATAATTCTTGGGCAATCAATATATGCATACAATAAGTGCAGGGCATTATTTTTGAGAAGTCAAAAATGTGTACTACACACTGTTCTTTTCTTAATTCAAAATTTAAAAACCAGTATAAAGAATAATTCTTTCAGACTCTAAAAAACACAGGTAGGAGGAAAAACATATTCCTGGACCATTTAAATTTTCCGACTATGTCTCAAACTGGGATAAAAAATATCTCCGACATATAATCAGAGTTGTCCTGCCATTATGCGAAGCTAGCAGGAGCACAGACTATCAGCCTGGCCCGCCACATATTCTGGCAATCGTGGAAGGAGCATAAAAAGGAAATTTTAGTGGTTTTTTTTCTTTTGTTTTAAAAAAGAGTCTTTAGAGGACTTAGAACACAAAATGAGGTCATAACATACCACTTCCGATAACCCTTGCTATGACTTACCCTCTAAGATGATGGAGTCTACACTCTTTTATCCTCACAGGGACATCACTGAAAACATTTGCGGAGACTTGTATAAGGTTTATCTTAGGAATTCCATTAGACTAGTAAATAAATTAACCTCAAAAATAATAAAAGCTTGCTCTTTTCCAGCTGGAACCCTGGAGGGTGCAGAAGAGAAGAAGAAGGTCCCTGCTATGCCAGAAACTCTGAATAAAAAGCGAAGGAATTTCGCGGAGCTGAAGATCAAGCACCTGAGAAAGAAGCTCATCTTTGAAAAAGCTAAGCACTATCACAAGGAATACAGGCAGATGTACGGAACTGAGATTCGAATGGCTCAGATGGCAAGAACAGCTGGCAACTTCAATGTACCTGCAGAACCCAAATTGGCATTTGTCATCAAGATCAGAGGTATCAATGGTGTGAGCCCAAAGGTCCGAAAGGGGCTGCAGCTTCTTCGCCTTCACCAGACCTTCAACGGCACCTTTGTTAAGCTCAACAAGGCTTCGATCAACATGCTGAGGATTGTGGAACCATATATTGCATGGGGGTACCCAAATCTGAAGTCAGTAAATGAACTGATCTACAAGCATGGTTATGGCAAAATCAACAAAAAACGAACTGCCCTGACAGATAACACATTGATTGCTCGATCTCTTGGTAAATATGGCATCATCTGCATGGAGGATCTGATTCATGAGATTTATACTGTTGGAAAACGCTTCAAAGAAGGTAACAACTTCCTGTGGCCCTTCAAATTATCTTCTCCAGGAGGTGGAATGAAGAAAAAGACCACCCATGTTGTAGAAGGTGGAGATGCTGGTAACAGGGAAGACCAGATCAACAGGCTTATTAGGAAAATGAATTAAGGTTTCTACCATGGTTATTTTTATAATCTAGTCGGTTAATAAACAGTGAGTGCTTTAAATTGAAAATAATAATAATAATAATAATAGCTTTAGACAGAAAGGGAGAGCTTTACTTATTCTTTATTACTACTAAGTTTATGGTAGAGTACCATTTTCCTATGACTGGTCTCCCAGGTCATGACAGGCCCAAGTATTCTGACTTCATTTACTTTGAAGTTTTTGAGATATTTATCACTCTAAAACTTCACAGTAAATAAAAACATGATTTTATTTTTATTTGTTTATTTTCAATCCTCACCCAAGGATATTTTTACATGTATCTTCAAACAGAGTGGGAGTGGGGGAGAGAGAGAGAGGAGAGAGAGAGACATGGACTGGTTGCCACCTGCATGACCCCAACCGGGGCCGAGGACAAACTACAACCGAGGTAATGTGCCCTTGGCCGAAATTGAACCTCGGACTCTTTGGTCCGCAGGCTGTCACTCTAATCGCTGAGCCAAACCGGCCGGGGCTGAAAATGTAATTTTAAATAATACTTTCTTTCTAGAAAATCATTTATTTAAATAAAGCTAAAATTTTGAATTTAAATCCAAGTATCATAATCTGATTAATGTCTATTTCTTCTATATACCTTACTTTTCTACATCTTTAAATATAAAGTCCTATGATTTAGGAAGACAAAATTAGGTAATGAGATATATGCCATCCCAGACAGCAAGACTTCATTCAATTCTGCTGTGCCAGATATATACTCTTTTGGTGAAAGAATAGTCTATGATCTCTTCTACTTTTTTTACACTCATGTTTAGGAAATTTTTTTACTCTATTTACGTAGGGATACTATAAAAGTTCATGTAAGCTCAAACTCACTGAATAATCAGTAATTTTAAATCAGTCAAGCCTAAATTAATAAAATTTACTGTACTTACTGTACTTCTTTCAAATATCATCACAAGTTAATTCCTGCCTCTTGTTGCCAGCCTTTAAATTCTAAATCACGCTTCAAAGCTCTCAGCAGCTATTTTGCAATCTATGAAGCATGGACATTCTGCTTTATGGAAGATGCAGTTCACTGACCACATTTTCACCTGAAGGCTCAAGTTCTGTTTGCCTAAAATATTTGACTGGGAGAACACATTCCAGAAAATAATTTAAACTTATTAGGAACATAATAGATGAAATGAAAAGGCATTTGCCACAGTTCCTTAGCAAGCACTTGCATTACTTAAGAAATCCATATTCAGGTATTTAAGTACTCTAACACACTCTTCCTTTAAAGATTTTTCATTTTGGGAAAAAAAAAAAATGACAACAACTTAAAACAGAGGAAAGATTTTTGGCTTTTGCATTAATTTTATGAAATGTGATCAACAGTATCTCTTGTTAACAGATAAAAATAATTCGACAAAAGTCCCACTGGGAAGTAACTCCATAGATTCAGAATGGAAACATCGTTCTCTTAAATATCTAACTTCTAAATCAAAATTAAACTTGACAACAGATTCACTCACCAATATTTTCTGTGGGCATTGAGACTCTGGTTGGTTCCACCAGATTGTCAGCCAGGACAAAAGCTCCTTCTTCCAATGTATCCAGTAACATTGTTGCAGTATGCGCTTGTTCAGAAGAATTCATGTGCTTCCATGATTCCAAAGCTTCAGGTTTCAGAAGGTTGTCCACTGTGTCAACAATTGCCTGCATCCATCAGAAAACCACCATTAGTTTTGACTGCTTCTAGTACCAGCGTGATTTTCAACCACTGACTAGTGACAACTGTAATATTTATTTGTTGTGATGATTTATTCTTATTTCAAGATGGAAGAACACCTGGGCAACATATATCTGGGTCAACTTGTAACATCTCTATTTCAAAATAAGACTAAGTAAGGATTAGTTGACTACTATTTGGTTATAAAGAGTAAGTGTAAAAAGATTGTTTTTCTGTTTATCTAACCATCTCAGTTGTTGAAAAGAAATACAACCAGCATCAGCTCTCAACCTGAGGTTATTCCTCTTACATGCATAGTCACTGCTACTTACAATCTCAAGACTTGAATGTTCTACATAGAAATCATTGATGCCTCTGAAATAGCCTAATAGTTATGCTCGAAAAGTAAGACATAGTATATTTTTTGAACAGGAACCAAAACTTTAATACCCAAAATTGTGCCTTACAACATTCTCTGTTAATTACCAGTGTGTGGGTGTGGGTTGGGGGTTGGGGGGCACAAGGTGATTTCAAAGTTTGTCAATTATCTGTGAACATTTTCACTCTTCCAACTTCCTGGCCAGCTAAAAAACACCTGAGAGTATACCTTAATTCATTAACAACTATCTGTTTGTAAAGGAATCAATAAAGTAATCAAAATATTTAAAGTCTATACTAATAATGCAATGGAAACAGAAAGGCAGAATAAAGTCTTCATAAACATCCAAGCTGTAAATGTTCATGTGTGTGGGTTTGGTTGATTAGTATGAAAAATAACATTAAATAAAGATAAAACCCAGTCAGTTATGCAACTGTAGGCAGGCCTCCGCACTGATAGTCACTGTAGCTGAACACTAACTAGGGCTTGGATAGCTGAAATCACCAAGTTTATTTATTCTATCCCATTCACCTAGTCGTAATGTGTCATTAAGCCCATATATACATTGTTTTGATCTACTGGTAATCACAGATGGAAAAAGAACATACATTGTACAAAGAACAACAACAAAAAAAAGTGCTACTTTGAGGTACTATATTAAATTGAGCAGGGGGAAGAGTTGTTTGAGGCTACTGTCAGAGTAAGATTAATTAGCTTAATCCATCTTAATATCCTCCTTCTGTCTGCCTTGTGAGCCACCACGACCTTCCTGGCAGGTGAAGATACTTCCAAGTGGCATTAAAGGCTTTTTTCTTTCTCTAATGGGAGATAGAATAGTCAGAATGCGCACACTGATACTGCTGCAGCCATTAACTAGAGTGGAACAGAAATTGGTCTGCTGAGGCCAGATTCATTAGTCACTGAGAAATACAGACTGGAACCTCTAATCTAAGTTACAAATGAATCCTCTGTCACAAAGCAGGAAACCACTTCATTTGCATAGTATAAGTCAGCTTCTGGTTGGTAATTTAAGGAGTTGTATTAGTCTTATCTGAACAGAGAAACTCATTTGTGACATGCTGAAAATGAAACTGGTCAGAAATTAAGGTCATGCTGAAATTTACTATGTATACACATAACTCCCAGATGGCCTGTCTTTATAAATTCGAAACACTCCTTATGTATTACCATTAGTACTTTTCTTCTGGAATCAAAATGATCATTAGCCTAATCATATTCCTAAAGTAGTCTCTCTCCGGCAAAGAAAAAAAAAAAGCTATTCTTTTCCCAGTGAGATATACGTCCTGGGCAACATACCAATTATTACATTTCACACAGTAATACCTTTAAGGTGAACTAAAATTTCAGTATGACATATTCTATACTTTTTAGTGGTTACTGGTTTGCCCCCATTAAAGAGGCTAAAAAGGGACTTCCAGAACAGTACTATCTAAAAAACAGACTTTCCCACCAACTTTTCCTGTAAAGTTCTGAGATCCCTCAAAGTCTATTATAAACTAGTGAGGTGCATTCTTTTTTTTCTTGCCAATCGGTATTGGTAAAGCCAAAGTTTTGGAATAACCTCTGTTCTACAAAACTACAAAGTCCTTTGGTTTTGTTGCCACATTGTATAAGAATCAGTACTTCAGCTTTGATTTACTGGTGATATGGTCCCTAGCTGAGCCAGATTAGAAAAGTAGCTGACCCCCAAGAGAACATTTAAAATTCAGAATGAAATGATAATGCAAGGAGGTATTATTACTTCTACCTTGATCACACAGAACTAGCATGGCATAACTCTACTGTAGCCTCACTCAGCAAGTGTCTTACTCCTTCAGTCAAAGAGTAGCTTTCTGTTCATATCAGCCTGATAAAAACCAACATATCACACACATTGATAGCACTGTCACATTGTTTATATTTCACTTCTAGTACCCTTCCTGATAACAACCTGATTCCAGAAAGCACCCCGAAAAATTTCCGGGCAAAGCCTATTTTATTGAAGAGTACACCACAGATAGGAAAAGAAAGCAGGGACTTTTTCATGCACATACATTATGACTATACAGTCTTTGATAGGATAAACTGCCAAAGATATATCATAGCTGTGTTACTCAAGTTTTTCGGTCCACAGAGATGACAACAGGAAACAAAGAGACTACATGATTAGTTTCCAATTCAGAGGGCATTTCATTAAAATTCTTGTACATTTGGATGAATGAAAAAAAAGAGCAAAAAATTATAAAAATAAATGATTTGCTTATTCTGAGAGTAATATACCTGTGAAAAGCCAACATTTGTACAGCTGATATGGGGCACATTATATAATTATCAAAGACTGAAATACATTGGTTCATGCAGCAAGATGATAAAGCGTGGCAGGTAGCTGAAGAAGGGAGAAAGCAGAGACAGCACAGGAGAGATACCTTAAGGTAAGCCCTGCATGTCTTCTCTCGTTTTTGGAGCTTTTTAGTAAAAGAAAAGAAAATCAGAGGTTAGATTTTATCTGTTGAAAATGAGGAAAGTAGAAATCCTCAAAAATTTAACTGGTGTTCCAGAGCTCAGAGTTTATTAGGTCCCGGAGTCTTCTGGATTTCATGGTCTGCACTGCCAAGATTGTGTCTTTACAGTTTTTAGCTGTAAGTTTCTAAGGACACTAGTTCTTGATAGAACTAAGGACTAAATATGTGGTCAAAGGGGGGGGGGGCAGTTTTTTTTACACCCTATAAAACCATATTAACCACAGACTGTGGGTTCCTATGACTCTCATCTAAAAACTTATTTACAGTATGGTTAAAATAACTATTAAACTTTTGTCACAGCATGAAAAATTAATAGCATTAACACACGATATACCTGGAGAGAGAAAGTTCTTCTTCCAAACACTGCCATTAAAAATGGTATTTCAGTGGC